ATATGCGCTAAAACTCAACACATGCACTATTTATGATTTTATTTTTTTATTATACTAGTTAGCGGCGCAAGTTGGGATTATGGCAAAATAACTTTCCAACTCACTGGTGCCTGCAGGGTGTAGCAAATACCGTCTAGCAATAAAATCAACATCAGTGGTGCTCCAGGAATAAGGAGCTATAATGCGATGTTCTGGTATTGAAGAGCAATTAGCAGAGTGTCGGTGCAAAAAAAGTCGCTGCCTGCTAATATATTCAACTTGAATGCTGGAAATCATTTATGTAATGCTTATCTACCTGCCGATGCAAGGTTCTGCCATTGCATGGTTGGGCTTCCGCTTTGCCATTACATGGTTAAAATTTAGATTTTAAATCTTGAATCGGAAATTACCGAGGCGTTTGTCAATAAATCCGTGAAACTATGCGACGTTCATGAACATTAATTGTTTATAGGAAATAAATAGTATCAATCTTTCAGTAAAATGATACCAGTAGATCAGAGTTGTCAAAGTCTGTATTCTTGACGCATTATAATAATCGCGTAAATTTTATGTTATACCCAAAATAGTATCGATGTCTTTAATAAACTATAAAATGTATCTTATAAATTGAAAAGAATTTTAATTCTATAAACCTGAAATGGCTTAAACTTTGCAGTCTGTAAAATTCTCATGTCTGAATTGAACAATCTAAAATGGGCAAATCTATCGGCGATAAAGAACAAAGTGATTTTACATTGTTCTTTTCCCTTACATGGACTCGACACACTGAGTAAAATTTTGTTTATTTGTTGCGGTGTTGCTCAGGCGGTGCTGGTAGTGCCCTTGCACATTCCTGTTAACCGTCACATCGAGAGGCTCATTTTAATCAATAACGACCCAGGTGTTAGAGCTGCCCCGCTGCTGTCACGGCCGATCTCAGGACCTCGTTAATTTCTAAGCTCAAGTTTCTGCAGCTGCAGACGATCCCAAATATGGAAGACCGTTGAGCACAGCCGCGCTACACGTGCCACGATAGGTTATAGGCTACGAGAAATGTGGCAGACCTGAGAGACTACGTCACACGTGCCACGATAGGTTATAGGCTACGAGAAATACGGTAGACCTGAGAGCCTACGCCACAAGTGCCACGATAGGTTATAGGCTAAGAGAAATGTGGCAGACCTGAGAGACTACGCCACACGTGCCACGATGGGTTATAGGCTACGGGAAATGTGGCAGACCTGAGAGACTACGCCACACGTGCCACGATGGGTTATAGGCTACGAGAAATGTGGCAGACTTGAGAGACTACGTCACACTAGCCATGATAGACTGGTTGTATGCCATGTGAAATTGGGACGACCTGAGAACTGTTTTAGCAAATGCCACTATGAGCTTCGTAGAAGCTCATTGTGACGCTCATCTTGCCACGAAATGTGGCAAGCCTGAATGCCCAATACTCGTGGGACACGTAAATATATACTGGTAAAATGCGAGTACGATACGCGGCAGACCTCGAGTTCAGCCGGATGATAAGTGACATGATAAATTGCATCTAAGCTACACGAATTGTGATGAATTTGAATGCAGAGCCGTCCAAGGCATTTGATAATAAAGGGTGTACACAGGTTGTTAGATTTCCAAATGTGTCAGGATTTGAAGCACTGCCGTGTCAAACGTTCCATGATGAACTTATAATTAACCTACTCATAATATACTTGGTAGCTCGTAAATTCGGTAGCGCCATGTTGAAATGGCTATAACCTTGCACGAAATATGAGTGGTAGCTTGAGAACACAGCCATGTCGCGCGAGCAGCGGTTAAATGGGGAGGAAAATTACAATATAGGACAGGCCTGAGAACGCGTGCCCCTTCTGTCCAGGTCATGACGGACGGACAAGCTCGTGCCGTTTAGTGCCCACTGAACGCTGAGTTATGGAGACCGTGACATGAGGAGTTAGGTTACACAGGCACCGAAATATTAGGAACATAGTGACCCATACCCTCAAACGCTGGGACATTGGGCATAGAGTGACCCTTGCCCTCGGACCTTACGGGTATTACACTTGGTTCGCTGTGCGCTCTAGTGTTGGAGATGGAATTAGTAGATCGATTAGGAGACAAAATTATCAAATGATATGAGTAATTTCTTTGAATAATTAGGCACATTACATGGTATAGTAGCCATGTATTTTTGTGGTTTAATAGTATAAATAGTAAACTACATGGTGTCCAAAAAAAACGAGACTCAACTTTGAATGGCTGTAACTCGAAAAGAAATAGAATTAAAAAATTTTGGAAGGTCAGGATTTGTTCCCTATGTTTTTCTGCATCTCTCCACCAAAAATCAGACAGATCTATGTAGCCATAAGCGTTTGATAGAACTTACAGTGACATGCGCTAAAATCGTGCTTGCGCAAAGTTTTAGTAAGATCATTTTGCATAATCATTGCGTTGTCTTGACATGTTTTCTTTTCGCTGTTTTATTTTTTGTATCTTTGGTGAGACAAAAACATGGTAATCTTTGGTGAGAGGCAATCATGACAATTTTCAGTTAGACACAATTATGAAAATCTTTGGTGAGAGGCAATCATGACAATCTTTGGTGAGACACAATCATGGCAATCTTTGGTGAGACACAATCATTACAATCTTTGGTGAGAGGTAATATTTGTTTTTGAAATTCCTTCTCACCAAAGATTGTCATGATTGTCTCTCACCAAAGATTGTCATGATTGCTTCTCACCAAAGATTGCCATGATTGTGTCTCACCAAAGATTGTCATGATTGTCTCTCACAAAGATTGTCATGATTGCTTCTCACCAAAGATTGTCATGATTGTTTCTCACCAAAGATTGTCATGATTGCCTCTCACCAAAGATTGCCATGTTTTTGTCTCACCAAAGATACAAAAAATAAAACAGCGAAAAGAAAACATGTCAAGACAACGTAATGATTATGCAAAATGATCTTACTAAAACTTTGCGCAAGCACGATTTTAGAGCATGTCACTGAAAGTTCTATCAAACGCTTATGGCTAGATTGATCTGTCTGATTTTTGGTGGAGAGATGGAGAAAAACATAGGGAACAAATCCTGACCTTCCAAATTTTTTTAACTCTATTACTTTTTGAGTTACAGCCATTCAAAGTTGAGTATCGTTTTTTTGGGACACCTTGTATACTCATCACTAATATTTTCGTTAGAAATCACAGAATGCGCAATGTATGTAATCAGTTCCTCGTCTCGAAAGCATTGTAAATGACTATGCCTTTAATTAATTAGCTTCGAGTTAGTTTATAGCATACGCTTGAAAATGCAAAGCCAAGCAACAGAGAATAACGGGAATCCAAGTACATTTTTGTTTTGTATCTTTCTATTGACCCTTCACGAATAATTCCCAAACCTAATGCATCATTAGGTACCTAGTCAAAATTTGAGACATTCTGAAATCCTGTGGGACATAAATGATTTCAACGAAGATATCGCTTTAGTGCATCTTCCATCATTGAGTCCAATGATGGATTCTGGGTCCCGGTTCGCCAATGCATCCCTGCAAAAGCTGCTGAACTTGAGAACAGTCGCCAAGACACCACACTTTTCTTAAGGGTCGTTCCTTTTGTGGAGTTACCGATGGACAAAAGGAGAGGCGCAAGAGAGCGTGTCCCCATATTAGCTACTTGGTATGGACTTAAATTCACTTGAGAAGCTCTAAGGAATAATTGAGTCATCAAGTAGCTGGCAGGCATTGCTCATGAGGACACAAGCGACGTTTTCCCGTAAAGTTGGCTTCCTTCTAGGAATAAGCCGCTCGTTTCTCGGATAAATTAGGCAAGTGTTATCGTAGTTTGGCTTGGCTTTACAGGCGCAATCTTGAGGTTTCCGAAACAAAAGAGTGTGCAGAAGCAGAAAGAGCAGCAAAAGCCAAAGTGTGAGAAAACAGCGGAAGGTTTAGTCGCTCTAAAGGCGTTCGGTAGGGTGTCGTCACGCCTCTTAAGCACACCTTAGTCAGTCCTTGGAAGGCCAGCCTTAAGGCGCCTCACAAAAGACCTAAGTACGGCAAGCAGCGGCTAATAATGGCCGCGATACGCTCAGTGATTCGCTTCTTAATGCGCAAGTCATGCTCTCACTCCTGCGTGACGTCACGCCGACCATGTTTCACATCGTACTGTATAACAAACAACTCAACTTATAACATCAGGTCTGCACATCATTTCAAATACGTTACGTTCAATAATTTCACGATATTTTTCTTGATGTTTAATTCTACAACAATTATGACCAAACATCTGCCGATACAGGCGATACTATAGTTGCATTTGCTAATTACTTGGTTTAAAAAAAAACGCAAAACTTTCTTCATGGGCGAGGAAACACTGGAAACAGTTGAGCAATTGAAGTACAATCAGCAGCCTAGTTTGCAGCACTTGAACCAAAGATTCTTTTGAAACGAAACTGAAATAGCGGTGAATGAGCTGCATGGGCTTTCATTTATGAGCAGTTACAGCCTTCAAATTCCTATCGTTCTTTCAACAAAATACCTTACACTTCTTATGGGGAAAGCTCTACGTCTGTTGAAGCTGCTTCACCAATAAGCTCAACTAATGTTTCGTAAGACAGTGAACAACATTTCAATTTTTCAGATGCAGAAGTTCTCTCATGCGTTAAGTAAAATGCAAGCTCACGCGTTAATCGACCAATTTTTGCAATCCAATCTGAAAATTCTTATATGCACTTCTCCTAATTTGAGAGCCTTTTAAGATGGATTGACCACACGCGAGTTGTAATTATTTCCTCGATGAATTGATTTTCTTTGCATATGCTTTGGAACATCCTTCACACAAAGCCAAATGATTTTAACAGTATTTGCAATGACTGTAAATCAGGTTTGAAAGAACTAAAATTTTTACAAAACGTTTCACGTACGGATTTGTCGTTTCCATAGAATACCCAAACACAAAATCATTTATTTATTCTACCAAACAGCCATATAATTGATTTTTTCAAAAGATTGGAGCTTACCTTCTTTTTTGCGTACGACCTCCTCTTCTTCGTCGCGGCCGCGCAGGAGTCGCGATATCGCGGACACCGAAGGCGCGCTGTTGCGGTCACACAAACCTTCCTTCATCAGCCTGGGGACAGACCGGAAAATAAAAGGCTTATTCCATGGAAACAATTGTGGATTTAATACAAATAAAATTTTAAAGTTCATGGATCATTACTTTAGATCAAGTTCTCCGGCGAAGGTCCACTCATCAGGCTGGGGACAGACCGGAAAATGAAAGGGGAATTTCCATGGAAATATTCCATGGAAATAATTGTGAATTTAATATAAATAATGTTTTAAAGTTCATGGATCATTACTGTAGATCAAGTTCTCTGGTGAAGCTTCACTCATCAGCCTAGGGGCAGACCGAAACACAAAGGGCTTATTCCATAAAAATAATCGTCACTCTAATATAATTGAAGTTTTAAAGTTCATGGATCATTAATGTAAATAAAGTTCTATGACGAAGATCCACGTTCTATCACAGCGAAGGGAGATGTATTGACTTGAAATTCCGTCAGAGCACCGATCATTCAGAATTATTTCTTATATTGTTATTATTTGAGACTTCACTTCTAAGAAGTTGAATCAAATATCATTGCTTCTTGTGACACAGTCAATTAAATAATTTTATAAGCTGACTATCCATTCAAAATTACAGGACGCTTATGGAGGCAATCGCACTTATTTACACTGCGTTTACTTTTAAGTGGTGAATTCTCAAGTAATTAAATTTCAGCGCATATTTCTGCCAAGTTAGAAGACACAAAAAAACATGATCGCACACCATCGCCGTTAAGAAAATTTTTGAAAAGTTTCGCACAAGCTGACGCAGGCGCGAGAAATTCTTTTGTGTTCACATCTATGGTGGCCACATTGGAGGAGCTGTCAATTATACATGGTGGCCGCTGCAGTGATGATTAACGCTATCACTTAATACTGTATATGGTGGCCGCTGCAGTGATGGTTAAAGCTATCAATGAATATATGGTGGCCGCTTAATATATGGTGGCCGGCTGCTGTGATGGTTAACGCTATCAATTAATATATGGTGGCCGGCTGCTCTGATGGTTAGCGCTATCAATGAATATATGGTGGCCGTGGCTGCTGTGATGGTTAGCGCTATTAATTAATATATGGTGGCCGGCTGCTGTGATGGTTAACGCTATCATTTAATATATGGTGGCCGGCTGCTGTGATGGTTAGCGCTATCAATGAATATATGGTGGCCGCTGCAGGGATGGTTAACGCTATCAATAAATATATGGTGGCCGCTGCAGTGATGGTTAACGCTATCAATGAATATATGGTGGCCGGCTGCTGTGATGGTTAGCGCTATCAATTAATATATGGTGGCCGGCTGCTGTGATGGTTAGCGCTATCAATTAATACTTTGTGGCCGCGCGTGAGGCGGCGGCTTCTGTGATGGTTAGCGCTATCATTTAATAGAGGTGCGTCCGCTGCCACCGAACACGCCATTAGCGGACCTTTTCTTGCCTCAAGAGGCGAGCAATTTGGCCGACCGGTCGGGCGAGCGGTGGCGCTGAAGGGATAAATAATACGCGTAAGAACGAATTTCGTAGCTATCGTTTACAACAAACACGCTAAAACCGTTAGACTGGGTATTAATTTAAGATTACTACAAATTTAGTTCAACGCTTCGAACAAAATTTAGTTGAAGAACAGAATTGTTTTACAGCCGATTCATGAGACTGTCAATACTTATAATTTGTTTTAACGAGATTTTAAATTATGGTGCATACTTTACGTATAAGCACATATTATCTGAACTTATACATTATGTTGTTTTTTAAGACCAGTATTTCTTACACGGTGCAAATGAGCCCAACCAGTGGGAATTCGCTCTAATATCTTGTTGCTCTGCACAAGAAGCCCATAAACTAATGTACAAAAGGAAAGGCAAAAACTAATTCAATTCTACACTAACCGCAACTAACAACCTTTAATTCCTGCCAATAAAGCAATGCTTGCACTGAAAATAAGATCATCAAAAGCTTGATGGCGAGAGCAGGAGCGCCCAGACTGCATGGCATCCGCGTCTGCGGGACGAGTCTCAGCGATCGCAGGGCGGCAGGATTTACGAGCGGTGTAAGTGTCCACAGCGAATCCCGATTGTCGGAAATCATCCTTCAGCTGAGCCACCAATCCTAACATCACACTATCGACTGGTGTGCAATTAGAGCCTCGTAAAGCACTCAGAGTCTCGCCTTAATGGTCTCTTTACACTTTAACAAATCTAGCAAAGTCGTTTGTCATGAGACGACGCGCGTGTGAGGCGCGGTCATGTCAAGCAGGCCATTATGAAGTCAGTGCAAAATATGCTGTCTTTAGCTGAGCATAGGGGCCATTCATGCCCCAGCAGCGGCCATTATGCGTACAATGCAGGCGACTATGCGCACAAGCTTGTGTCTTTGTGTAGGCAGACGACCGCTGTACAGGGAATGAATATCTTGACAGAAAGAACGCGATTAGGCAGCCAAGTATAGATGCTATTAAAAAACTCGGCTAGGGAAACAGATACGCAATGTTAGACAGTTTTAAACGGCGATTAATTACTAGCTTGTGCACGGATGGGAATAGTGAATAATATGCGCCAAAATATGACTTTAGTTTGCTTCAAAACTATCTATGGATCGTAAACGAACATCTTCGAATATTATTAATACTTTGGAGAAATGATAGACCGTTCTCATTGTGTGTTTTTTGCGTTAGATAATTCCACCTGAACCTCTTTTAATTAGGGACTCTGACCTAACTAATTCAAGGTGAAAATATGCTGCTTGATGCCTTATCAGCTGTAAAATCTAAGTGAAATAACCGATTTGGATCGGAACGATTTACGATAGTCCATTAAAGGAAGAGAGAATAAAATGTCTTAACCTTACTTTTGACGTCCCTCAAACAAATCATTGATCAATCACACGACTAACATTATAATTATTAACCGCTTAACAAGAGGAAGGGAGGGACTTACAGGCATGAAAACTGGACTTACAGACAGGGACTTACAGACATGGAGGTTTTCTTTTATCATATGTTGGCAATTGACCTAGCATTCGATCTGTATGACAGAGGTACATATTTCTGAATGAAAATATTAATTTAATCGTTTCGATCCCGTACACCCAGCGCTTGATATTTCCATAAACCGCGTAACCTCCAGACAATGACGATGCGTGTTGCCAGCGTTTGACAGCAACCGGGCCCGACGGTGGCCGGAAGGATGTATTCCGAGGTTCATTTCTTGACGGTCCCGTAAAACATGAAACTTGCTCCGCTTGCCATAACTTCTTGGCTGACGTTTCTATAGCTGCACTTCCTTAAAGTTTAGCGCGTCCTAGATTGTTATGGAATTTAAATTTTTTTCTACTTATAGAATGAAAGAAATTTTAAAAAGTTCATATAATATTTGCCTAATTCAGAAAATGTCAGGCTCGTTGAGGGACATTATCAAACCAATCGTATACGAAAATTTTACTTCTACTTTCAGTTAATCTTCCTCTTGTAACATTTTTATTATAATTCTAACGTCGTCCTCATTCTTCTCCCTCTACTCGTACGATCACCTCGTACAAGCAATGCAATAATTAGCGGCAACATAGAACGCTTTAAAGAGCCTCCCTCAAGTCGTTTTATCATGAGAATGTTAAGCAAATAAAGACCAGCGTTGCTGTGTGGCGGATGACTTACCGAGACTTTGCGCGTCACGCTCCGCCTGCTCTACACTGAACCGCTTTGTCGAGCCCACTTTTTTACTTGGACCAAACGAAAAGCCCAAATTTGCTCCTTTTCATGACTCTTTGTGACACTCACTTAAATTTGTGGCTCTCACGGCCAAACTCGTCTGTCTTGACGACTGCTGCTCTCATTGCACTCGCTGTGACCGTACACATGCGCTAGAAAAACTCACATCGTAGCGGTAATTATTGAACTTCCGGAACTTGGAGATGTTGTGTTATATTGAACCTGCATGACTTTTGAAAAGCTTTTTATGGAATCACAAAAGAATCGTTTAATATTCAGTAGAATAACTAATTTTGTGAATAGAAAGTAATCTTGACAAGATGGCTGTATGCTACCTTATAAGAATGTAATATCAACGAATTACACAATTTGGATGTAAATAAAGTAAATAATTTACGTATAAATTTGAAAATTAATAATTTCGCATAAAAATTTTTTTCGATCTAGAGAATTATCAAAACATTATTTGATAGAAGCATGATATGAATTTCCAAGAAAACCTGAGATAATCGTTCGTTACAGCACGTGATTCCTGGTATTTGAATAAATTTAATTTGAAAGCTTTTGCGATGAATAATTTGGTCAATTTTGTTTGTAATGGAATTTGTTTAGATATCAAGCGCCCTCTAACAAAATTATTCCCTTTAACATCGTTTAGGTTTTAGATACCTGCAACAAAAATCAACGTTCAGTAGACATCAAGGAAAAATTTTATTTCAATTATCTTTAAAATTGCGTGGAATAAAGTAAATCAAAAACGAAGTAGCCACAAAATAACTGATTTTGCAACCAAAGCTGGCAAAACGCCAACACTAGCAAATCATTCATACCATAAGAAAACTCTAAGCCAACTAAAATCTTCTCTGAAATAAAGAATAACGAAGAACAAAATTCAAATTAATTGTTCGCTAAATATCTGCATGCACAATTGCATCTTCGAAATTAGTTTTTCCGAACAATCTCGTCTGCTGCAGCATCTGTTCGAGATGCTTAAGGCTACCTGAAATACAAAGTAAGAAGCCAGTTGTTCGTCTGGGAAATATAGACGCGTTCTTCTAGGTTAGCTGGGAGCGCCTGTAACGTCAAACCTGCAGTAACGCTGTGCTAATTTTCCGGCACTTAAAGCGATGCAAAACTAAATCCGAGACCTGCGAGGGGAGGTGAGGGCGCGACCTCGAACAGACGGCGCTAGCGATGATGGCTTACTCACTGTTGGTGTAGTTCAACAATTCTTCCTTATATGTATTGAATATTGAAGGAAAAATATTAAATTGTTCGACTTTGCTGGGACATCAAGTGTTGGCAACCCATGCATGTTTCTGGTAATGGTCGTTCATTCACGTTTCATGAGCAAAAATAGTTAATCATTACCAACTCTCTTTCTGTAGCGTTATTACGTACAGAATAGTGTTTACTTTTCATTTCACGAACTTTCGTCTTCATTTTCATTAAATGTAATACTAACTTAATAGAAATTCATCAAAGTTAATACAAATGGGACACGCAGGCTTCATCGTATAGTGAAGCATTTCGAAATGCTTCACAATCGAAAATTGAAGCATTTCTTCCTAAAATTTTTCCGATATTTCATTACATTATTTTGATGTCTTAAATAATAGAGCGGTTCAATTCTATTATTTAACTCTGTATTTCTGTTTGTGCGCATAATGAATAATTTTGGTGCTTACATTGTCACGATATCTCTTACCCTATAATTTTCTCTTTAATGAGTGTAAATAATAATTTACCTATTAAACTTAACGACATTATTGTTTCTCTTTTTATTAATTGAACCCAAATTGAGTCTCTTCCAAAAGAGAGAGGGATATTTGCTTGAGTATCCCAGAGCAAACAAGCCCACCCACGGCGCTCGGGCCGATCCATCTCGAGCGCGTCATTCCGCTTCCCTCGCCAGCCGCTGCGCGGTCCTTACCGTAGCTTACGCATCCTCAAATTCTCTCGCTCATACCCACGCATCCCAATCATATTTTCCTTCTAAATGTCCCTAATTACGCACTTGTCTCTTTTTCTGATTTGGTTCCCTTAGTTTTGAAGCATTTCGTTTTCCTTAAGTTCATCTTGGTTATATACTTTTCCGATTTCTGTCTCCTGTTAGTAAAATTTAAAAGCAAACTCACACAAAGACCAAAAAACTTTCGTTCCGAGAGATTCATCAAACGAAAGCTGAGACATAAATTTTCAGCAAAAGAAAATGTTCCAGTAGAATTAAATATTTCAGCAAAAGGAAATTTTTCAGCACATGTATAATTGAATAACATTCTTAGTACCAAAAGTGGCAAGCGACGTACTAGTTAGCCTCTGAGGGTAGAGTGAGCCGACGTTCCCTCCCACGAGTTCTGATACGCATCAAAGGAATGACACCAATTTACCTACAGCGAACACATGCAAAAACAATGTCATAAAAACAACCGCTTAGTGTAGAAAAACTGTAATTTTGTTTGCTCTGCTCAGTGAACGGAACGCTAAGCACAAGAGGTTCATTGTCAGTCTCTTGATGAGGCTGATGACGACTTCTCAAAATTTCACCTGCCATTTCGAAGGCCAATATGATATGCCAATGACAATGCTCTATCATTGACGAGACGTTGTTCGTTTTTAACAAGGCAAGACGTTAATGAAGAAATATTTGAAAACGCATAAATAGAATTTTTTTGCAGTTCATGCAAAACTAAAAAATTAAATAATGTTTGGTCACGTTCGTACGTGTTTATATAGTGTTTTAATGTGAACAAAAATTATACTTGAACTCGTATACCTCTATAAAATTATACAAAAAGCAGGTATGATTGCGAATTCCACTTATTTTACCACGTTTTTCTTAGCTTCGTTTCGTCTCTGTCTGTCTCTCTGTCTGTCTGTCTGTCATCAAAAATTCAGACCTTAATTTTAAGCTCCTCTGAACATCCTAGAAACTTGAAATTTGGCATGCATGCTTATGCTGCCTAACAATTTAAGATTTGATCGTCAGAAATAATAATTTAAAAATATTTTTTTAATTAAAAAAAAATAAAAAATAACACTAAAAATTCACGGTTTGGAATTGAATTTGTTCCCGAACATCCACACTTGCCAACCCTGGAAATTAATTTGAATTGCTAAAATTGCTAACTAAAAAGTAGCAAATAAATAATTATAAAAAATATTTTAAAAAACCACGTTTTTCTGGTTTTTACAAAACTAAAAGTCGTGAAAAAAAAACAAATGAATGAACTTTTAAAAACCAAGTTTTCTTGGCGGACAAAAAAGAAAAACATTTACTCCTACATAACATTTAAGTTATGTAAAATGTTATGTAATGTTATCTATGAGTAAATGTTTTTCTTTTTTGTCCGTTAAGAAAACGTGTTTTTATTAAGTTTTTTTTATTTGTTTTATTTCTCGAAAATAAAATGATATCTTCACCAGAGCAAATCAAAATCAACTCATAAATACAATAGTACAGGTATTTTTTTAAACTTTCAGCTGGCTTTTAAACCCACTTCCTTAGAGACCAAAGTGGTACAAAAAAAATATACCAGAGTAGCACTCACTTGTCTCTGATCTCCCAAGAAAAAACTCCTGGATTCTCTTTCTTGTATTCGGAAACTTTCTTTTCGATCTCTGGAGTTGCCATTCGGGGCTTGGATCCTCCAATGACGCCAGGTCGAATGGAGCCCGTCTCCTAGGAGCGCAAAACGGGAAAATAATTACAATAAGTTTAAACTGTGATACTATTCACTATAATTAAGTTTAGACTGCAATACACGTGACTGTAAGTTGAAGCTGTGATTAGATTCAGGCTGTGAAATAAAAACCATGATACAAGTGGCCATAAGAAGAACTTTAGAATGGCAAACAAAAATCTATTCGCACGATTTATAATGGCAAAACATTTAATGATTTTCCTTTATTAATAGCTACATTTCTATGGGTTAACGGGAAGAATATAAATAAATCAAAAATACGAGTATGCTAAATTTAATTTCGAATTAGGTTAGAAATTATTCGTTTTTGTGAGTCTGTTTTAAGGTAATTCGATAGGGTGCTGATATTTGTGAGTAGCAACTCTACCCTGGCCTGGAATTTTGGAAAATTTCTAACCGTGGATGAGTGACTAATGAAAAGTCTAAACTTTTAATTTGTTCCACGCGCACTTCTTTGCAAAGAAAATAATTTCTAGTAAAGCATCCTAAATTAATATTACCTGGTATCTGTTGAGTATTTTAGAGACGCAGCCGTGAGAGACTCTGAGTTGACGAGAGATGACGCACGGCCTAACACCGGCCGACGCCATTTCGACGATTTTCACGCGGATGTGGTTAGGCAGGGGCCGACCGTTGATGTAAACTCCCCCCAGTTGGTTCACGCGGCCCTGTCCAGCTGATGACATGCCTGGAACATGGAAATGTCCACATATTAACGAACGCTTATCTGATTTGTGCGAACCCTGGTCTGTAGATGACATGTTTGGAATATGGGAATGTTCATATATCAATGAAGGTTTAGCAGGTTCCGGCTAATGAAATAATCGGAGAATGGAAATCTTCACATTTGAATTTACTTTCAGCTGAATTACGCGTCCCTGTCCAGCTGGTGACATGTCTGGAACATCGAAATGTCTACATGAGATTGAATGTTCATTTGGTTCACACGGCATGCGCAACCTGTCTAAACAAGTTGACATCTCGTTTTAGAGATAAAATTTCTATAACACTACTTCATTGAAGTTATTGAATATTTCTTTCTCAGAGTGCATTAAAAATATATATAAATTTGAAAGAATTATCATGTGAATTCCGTTTCTCTGAAAAAGAATTTATTCAGATTCAGCAGCGCGCTAGAAGCACAATTAAAAGCCACATAAGTGGGCAACCAAAAACCAACTTCCTGAAATTAAAGTTCTTGCCTGCGCCTAAAATGTCACTAGAGATCGTCTGGTCCGACACCTTCAAAACACATGCACAACTCCCTGCAGTCTCCGAAAAAAATGGTCTCGTGTAGGAAGTTCGTTATTAGTTTTCTCCGAGAACAAAAGTATCGTTGTCATTGGCCACAAATGAGACAATGGAGCGTAACTCAGCCGAATTAACTCATTATCCGAGGACAAAAGGCTTGTCTCTTTGATGGCGACGGTGCTGAGGTGCTTCGTGGAATCGCCCGTTCTCTCTCGTTGCCATTTGTCAAGAAGCCAAAGTCCGTTCGTACGGTGTTCAAGAATTGAAATCCTGTGGCAAAAAGACCGCGGAAGAAGCCATCAATCAAGGCTCCTGAACGTGTGTTTCCTTGCTGCACCTCGGCCAATACTTGCTCAACTTTTCCCAAGTTTTACAGAGTAAAGAAGATAAACAACCTCACTCTATGGCAGTGTAAGGTGTGCATCAACGCTCTTCAAAGACCGTTCTCAATATATTCCTATGAAGGAGCTTCGAATCTCCTACGAGCAGGAAGACCTTCGAGCCGATCACGTCCTTCGCTTGCAACAAAAGTAAAAGCGTACGAGGGCCAAGATTCCAGGAATCGGGAACCATTGAGCCATAGATTGTGTAGACTAACACGAGACTGGCAATCTGTCATGGTATGCCTGATGGACGGTGCACTATACAGCGTCTCTTAATTAAATTCTTATGCGGAAATTCCATGCAACTCAGAATTTTTTACACACTTTCAATACCGACGCTTGAAGCATGAAAACTCAGTCTTTTTTGTTAATCAATTTAAAGTCGCGCTACTTGAAGACATTCCGCTGAATGATGCATTTCATCCAAACAAAAAAGTCCTGGAAAATTATTTATTCCTGTGTTTAAATAATTTTTGTCATTGCGAAGAAATTGGGAAATATTTATCATAGCCTGCGGATTTTTCTCACATTTTTACGATTCAATTTCGATTTTTAAATTGCTGCAATATCTATTCCAATTGGCGTAAGTTATTGTAAGTAACGCCGTCCCGTATATACTAAACGAAAATCTATTTAATATATCTGCACTGAAATATGCGCCATATCTAATGATTAAAATGAGATTATGAATCATTTTACTTCTATGTACTTCAACAAGCGACCAGCGTTTAGAGACAACAATTCGGGACGGTGGCAGGCGTTGGTGTCGAGGTCGCCGTGTCGCCCGCCCAGCGCGACGACGCGTCAAGGTGACTTCCTGTAGCGCTGGATCTCCCAAAGCAGCAGATCGCTTCATTACATTTTGTAATTATTTCTTGAATTTATTTAAATATCTAATTAAACTGAGTAATTTGATATTTAATTATATTCAATGCTGAATTATTTATGCATTTATTGCATTATTATTTAGTGTGACAGTGATTAAATTTGTCATATATTATTTGAAAAATTTCGAGACATTTTAGTAAATTTTAGGATCACATCAGCTTCTGACTGCGAGCTATTAATTTGTTCCAAGTGAATGTTTGGAGAGGTATTAATAATTTTGTAAACCAAGACATACATGTTCCACCAAACTGAAAAATTTCGTGAAGCCTTGGCAACTGAAGTAGTAAAATGCTACAAGTGTCAAGGCACGATAATTTTCAGATCATCCATGTAAAATGAATTGGATCTAAATGCATACATACATTTTCCGACTCTAAAAATATGCCAAAATTATCTAATGGTTTTAAGCATTGAGATGGGGAGCATGGAGAACTTCCCATAACGCGTAGATGTATTTTTAAAGGACCTACAAAATAATTTCTCAAAAATATTACAAATAACGCTAATGATTTCTACTAAAACAATTGGTGACACAGAACTTAGTTATGAAGATGGGTCTAAAGTCGTATGAAAATCAATAAATTATCAGATTAATTTGTTAAAAAATAATAAACAAAAACAGAGATTGTTGAAGTGTCATGAAATTTTTTATTAAAGCAAAAGAACATTGATGGCGAATTTATAATTTCAGAGGATTGATTAAATATATGCAACTCTACTAGCAGTGCTTCTCCCTTCCAAAAAAATTGTCGCCTGGATATCTTGCCCTGAATTGTAACTACAGAATTAGCTTCATAATGTTTGGTGTCGCTACTGATATCGACAGGTGGACATGGTCAAACAGGTTAATTGGTCCAGAGGTACCTATATCTTCGATACCTCTACACGCTCCTGCTGAAACCTGATGTACGTTGACATTTGATCACTCATATGGACCACACATTCTGCTGTACAAGTCTTTTTTTTGCGGAACTGGTGTTTTTAAAAGTTGTAATTTCGTTCAAATGTCATTAGCTAGAATGCAAGAGTTATTGAGAAGTTTGCTATTTGTGAATGAGAAGTCAATGTCTAACAACAGGTACAGCTAAAGCTGTAGATTCTGCTAATTGACAACGACGTGCAAGTCTCGGGAAACATGCCGAACACTGTAATATACGTGTCCAAGTCACGGGACACGAACCGAACACCGTAATATACGTGTCTGTCATCACGGAAACACTTCGCCAGCTTGAATGATCATGTCACCAGAGCTGTTTTTACTTCCTAATTAAGATGTAGAAGAATTAATGATTGTTTTAGACTACCGGGTGAGTAGAGAATTGTGCTCTCTGTCACTCAAAAGTCTGGCGGCAGTTCAACAGAGGGTAATTTGATCTGCGCCGCTACGTTTAGCGTGCACTGCACCATGCGAGCTTTACTCGTTCAACTTTGCTTAGCAGGGAATTGATAATTTTGTGTCGTCTTGTCGTTCGTGCAGCAGTCCTATAATATTGAATCCATAATTGAAAAGTAGCGAATCTAATTGATACGATACTTCCCTGTCGTTACCTCTAATTGATATTGAGAGTCAAGTGCAGCAGTGTCGTTTGCCGTTGTTAGAGTGGTCGCTTGAGTGAAGTTCCAAGCCAAAGTTTTTTGTTCATCATATACTCTTTTCAATTTGAGTTAATTTTGGCATAATATACGTATTTATTCACTCCTTCAAATCTCTCAAATAATTGTCATTTCACGCGGTTGCGGGTATTGTCGCGTTGGTGAATTAGAATACTTCTATTACTTAATTCTTGCTTAAATGCTGGGCAACGTTTTATTATTATCGATGGACGCTCTACTGGTTTATAAAGATTATTATTCAAATCGTTGGCTTTAGAAATATTGCTTCAATAATGAAATAATATGTCCACTTCCATGCATGAGGCGTCATTGCTTGTTAAAATATTGTCATAAACTACATTTTTCGGCAGTTCAATTTAATTCCTACCCATTGAATGTTTTTTCACCAATTTCAACGTCAATAAAATTTGTAGGATTCATGAGCTTCAAAATTACATCCCGATACTTATATTTAAATTAAACGGGAAGAACTCATTGAGCGAGGAATTGACTATTTCCAAGTCATGCTCAACTATTATTTATATACATGCATTATTTATATTGTACACGCTTGCTCAGAAAAAAACGAGTGTAAAATGTCACTTGTAAATATACTCGTAGAGAACCAAACTTCAAATACTTATCAGAACAGTCCAATTTCAGCGAATTAATCAATTTCTTACTTTCTAATTGCAATTTCAAAACCTATCTTTATTGCAAGCTCAATAACAATACTAGCAAATCTTTGCTTCAGCGCCTCTCTGCTCTACGAAAAAATACAAAATTCTAAATTAGTAAACAAAATAAAGTTTGACATTTAACTTTGTTTTAAATAGTAAACTTGTATAAAGAATCACTATGACAGCCAGATATATTTTTAAATTGTTTGAGTAATGCACTTTAACCATAAAAGTTTCATAGAGCAATGGTGGAATGAATTATTTTTCGTAATTTTAATCTATTTATAGTTTGATTCAATACATAATGAAAAAACTTAAACCTTCCTAATCATGAAGAAATAAGTCAAATGGAAATTCTTTTCGTACAAGAATCTTCCAAGTAGTCTTACTTTAGTTTTGATTTCGTTATAGATAGACTATATTTGATGATTAAATTCCTAACTATTTTTCAATTATCTATCCCGAATAACGCAGAATTAAGTAGCATACCAATTATATATTTGAAAACGCTTGTATTCGGGCGCTTAAAGTCATTCACCGAAAAATGTAGCTATATAGGGGCTGTACATATACATATAGCTAGGAGCTGTACGAGTGCGTATACACGATACCTACCGTGTCAGGAAATTACCTATAAGTAGACTTCGAATTGTATATTGAAGTACCAATGTATATTGAAGTACCTACATGCATGTATCATAGTTGAAGGGAAATAATAAAGTATTAAAAACGATGAGAGATTAAAAATTAATTTCTATTTATTGCTTAAGGAGCATCAACTTAATTGAAAAGTGCGAACCAGAAGTTTCCGAAAACAAACTTCTCAGGATTTTAAAGTCGAAGTTAGATTAAAGTTTCGTGTTAAATGCACGTTGGGGCAGGACTTTCTTGCA